ATAAGGTTGCTGAAAATCCATCGACAGCCCACGATCAGTTTCGCCCTTGTTGGGGCTCATCAGGTGGGTACAATCCCCGAGTTTCCTTATATTCTACTTGCAACTGAGTGTATTTCGCAAAATCTACCTCAGTTTTCTCCAAAACGAACCGACATCACGTTCGGACACATCTTATTGAACAAAAAGCAAATCGCATCGCCTAATTCCTCTAGCCGAGCTAATTGCACGAACTCTCGAGATTCCACTGAGTTTGTGTGACTTCCATACACGCACGCATAATCACATACGAACATGAGTTTTTGTCCGGGGACTTGGACCATAACAATAAAGCAGGACGCCAATTTTTCACATGCGAACCGGTGTGCCGACTGTAGGAAAACTGTGGGCTGAAGTGGTGGGAGTAGCGAAACAGCTGCCGGCCTGAGTTGTGTTCACGTAGCCTAGCTTTTTCAAAGAGAAGCAGTTGGTTTCTACATAACCATGTCTGGGAATGACTTTAACATGAAGAGGCAACGAAGAGGCGAGCGGAAACCGGTAATAGACTACTTGGGTCAAATTGGGAAACGAAAAATTTTATGGAGGCGAACAGAACAAACAGAACCTTGCGAAACAGATGAACTGTTTACCGGTGAACATATGACGAGGCGGATGTGCACGCACGAAAAAACGCGTAAACTCCTCCACTTCATAGCTAATAGACCCGATTGTGAGAATGTGCGGGGGTATCGGTGGATAACAGTACTGGCACTAGGTCCCGGTAACGGCAGGCAAACTGTTTTATCGTGGAAATATTGCTACCTTAAGACAAAATACAGTCAAGTTTCAAATGGTACAACAAAATCGATTTCTCGACTGGATGACCCCAGACATGCTTCCATTCGTTTGTTGCTTTCAAATTAAAAAGGCAGTCTGACGTGTTAGCTTCTGGGGATGTTGTAGCGAGTCGTCGTGACAACCAAAAATTTGCCCAAACTACCTGGCGAGATACGCATTCATGTGGCCGGACAATTTCATGGTTGAACTGCGAAAACTTCCGAATTTAATGAGAGAGTCGTGATAGACACGCTATGTGATTACAACAACTACCGACCAGAATTCCTAAATTTGACAAGCAAAATCTCCGTACCATAGGCCCTGGAATTTGTCTCTTTTGAAGTAAATGCACTCACCATATTTTGTGTGATGCACTTGATCAAGTCTATCTTCCTATTATCACGTCATTTCCACTCTGTCTAACGGACTCATACATGGGGCAGCGTCCTGGATGACTTTGGTTCGAGCCTGACTTTTCGGTTGTTGCCGTCTAGCCTTGGGCAGTTTGGTACTAGCCCAGTCCTCGGGCTTCCTTCGTGTGGTATGGACGATTTTTTCTGAACGATTTTTCCCGCGTAAAAATGATAAACTGGCCACCGTTGCATTCATTTGCAGCCCCTTATCTCATCTCATCTTCGAAGATTTTTTCAACACCAAGAAATTGACCACGGAAGTTGGTCACCCTTCCTTACATGTTGTCGGCGAAGACGTTATTGGATTCTGACATTTTGTTGAGTTCACTTGTCTTGTCTCAAAATTTCAACGGTGAAAGGGTAAACGATTGGCTGACAGATAGAAATGGATCTTGACTCCAGTCTGTTGCACGACTTTCAGGTAGGATAACTGTTTGACAGCTGGTCGTCAAGTTGTGACTGCTTCTAACAACTCCCTGGGGAGTTTTGTGGTCCTACCGTCCCACCGTCGCCAGGTGAGACATTCCGCGACTTTTTCCTTGAGGACAAAGCTCAACCTTCCTGAACTGTCTATTCGTGATCGCCCCCTACACATCTAGAACCATTTTCGAATTTTGATCGTTAAAATAGGTCATAATTACTCTTCGAAGAACCCATTGAGGGCGCGTTTACCTCACCAATGGGCGTTTATCAGTAATATGTTTGAAAAGCGTCGAGTTCAGTTACACAGTATCAGTGAGACCGATTTCTACCCGAGGATACGTAATATCAGGCATAGTTATGGAGTTAATCTGACGGAACACTTATTCATATGTTGTATTACGTGAACTCTAAATGCATTTCGGCCGTTTTCTTTAGCACAAAGTGACTTCCGTTCCCTTGCTTGTCATGCAAGACACGTGACAGTCTTAGTCACGCGGTCAACAAATTTCGATCGATATAACCTGATGTCAGTTTGAAAAAACAGACAATTCATCACACTTTGCATCTGTCCTCTTTTGACAGATAAATTCCTACTTCGACTGAGTTATGATTACTTATCGCAAGAGCGTTACTCATGGAACGAAACAAAAATAAGACCAAAATGATTTCGTGACTAAGATACTCAGTTTTATACCAGAAAATAACAGCAAGGACTAGACGCGTGTTGTCTCCACGGTGGGGACAAAAGAGCGGAGAACTAAATAGTCAAGTCATGAGGAAACTGGTTCAAGAAAACCATCCATTGTCTTTTAGTTCAGAGAAAACTTCAGCGTCACATTTCGACTATTGTCAAGTAGAAACGAGGCGGACAGGTGATAGCATGGAATGGAAATTAAACCCAACTAGTGATGACATTTTGATATTTCAACTGTGGGTTTCATCATTCAAATCTGTCGGTCGATGACGTCAATTATCAGAAACAAAACAAATCAACGTAACGAGTGGAGTTTTCACCTATGGAATCGTCACCCGAGGAGGCAGTAGTCTCGTGACTGAGAGATGTGAATCCCGTGAGAGAAGGATGACTGGCAATATATATTTTCTATGTGAGCGTTGATCAATTGATGACCAGCCGCCTCCTGTAGTGGGTTAAAGATATGTAGTGCAAACAATTTTCGGGTCCTCTTCACCGTTTTCACAGAAGACAACGTCAGAGTTATGCAGGATGAATTACGGAAGTGTGAACTAGATTTCTCTGGCTTCTAACAAGTTTAACCAAGGCCAAATGCAGTCCATCAGTGAAGTCATTGGTCCCATAATCCCGAGGTCAAAGTGTTGTGAGCTGTAGACCCGGTGTGATACTCTTTCAGTATAAGAACGAGAGCTGCTCAAGCCTACACAGAAGCCGTATAAAAGCAGGGTTCCACCCTAATGGCTGAGCTTCCCCGAGCTCAGTTCACCAAGTGAAGATGAGTCCGCACTTAATCATCTGTAGTTTATTTAACACCAGGTCCGCACGTCCAACTGAACGGTACACCAGGCTCGCAGCTGTCCGATGAGAACTCACACCAAAAGAGTCTGGCTCCTCCTGAGCAAACAGCGGGCACTAGGAGATTGCTTTATTTCCGGACCTTTATTTTGTCAAGTATAAGAGACGTTGATTTGATCGACAGCCCCTGAAATCTCATCCAGTCTCCCGAGTATCTTATTACGTTTTTCAGATATTATCGAATATAAGAAACTTGTGGACTGGCATCTTCGGAACCGACGGGGGCTAATCTAAAGGACCCATGTGGGACTCGAACCTGCATCGATTTGGTTGCCCAGGCGGAAGTTGCATCAATCCAAAAAAAAACTCACTCAGAGCAACAGCTGCAAAGGAGGAACTTAGTGCCCTCGTAGCGTGGTTGTATTCTGCAGTGCGAGAAACCATTTCTGTCACCAAAGCGGGACATCGACCAACCCGGAGACTCCACTCGCAACAACGAACATGCGTTCCGCAGGATACTCGACAAGCGCGAAGGTTAAACCGCAATGGACCCGCAGTATTCAGTGGGGAATGAGGAGCACACGCCTGAGGGCGGACTCGAACCAGTAACGAAGTGTATATGTCGGAAAACAAGCGTACTGAGTAGCTCATCCGGTAGAGTACCTATCTGGTAGAAGGGGAATCGATGGTCTTGGTCCATCCTTAGATTCTACATGTAACGATACCTTTCATTTCAGGACTACCATAATTCTTCCAGTTCCTGACAGCTGTAGAGGACTTGATCCCGAGAATAAGCAACCGAATGAAACAAGCGTTTCGCGGAAATGTGCAGTTGGCCTCTGATGAAGGCTGTCTGGATGTTAGCCTATGCTGACATCCAGGACAAAGATGGGTATGTTTGAACTCTATTTTTTCTATAAGTATTACGCTAAGTAGTTTTGTGAAAGGTCACATTCGAGACTAAACCATCCGCCCGTTCAGCTGTAGCACCCTTTCGGTGCCTAACTGTCATGCCACACGAAGGGAGCACGAGGGCTGGGACACTGCTAGGTTACCCAAGCCTAGACAGGGGAAGTCGAGAGACAGAGGTCGGGTTCGAACCACGGACCTTCCGGTCAGTAAATTCACACTCTAACCAGAATCACTCCTATTATCCAGCTAATCATTGTGCGGAGTGGCATTATGTTCACAGACGTATCCATGCTATGTCCGGCTCTCTACCCTTCATCAAAGACTTTGCATCTGTTAATCACATCATGCAACGGGTACTTTTTAGTCCTGGGAACAGGCCCCTTTTCTAGCACTGTTACTGATGTCTTATAAGTAGTGAAACGATTAACCTAATTTTACCTGAGGTAACCTCCACGCCTGATGATTCAGGGTGCGCCTACCGTGCATATCAAATGCGTGTCATGCGTTCATATACTGTCAACGCCAGGGAGGTACACTGATAGTTAGCACCTGTAAGAATAAAACGAGTCCGACGCCCCCTCTCTGCACCAAGCTAAAAGTGGACAAGAGTGAGGTGAATGAAAAACCCCATCAGTCACGAACCAAGGGGGTAGAGAAAAATACGTAAGAATGACAGGCGTAGACCTGACTTACTCATAACTTCTGCAGGGGTACCTTGCGTACCTGTGAGATTCGAGCTGTCCGTCGTAGTCATATTTGGAGTTTTGCCCTCGTCCGGATGAGGGTTTTGTGTCACCCGATACAACGAAGAACTCTTGTCGGTTTCCAAGCGCTGTCACGAGTAAAGAAAAGTCTCCGTTTTACTATTTTGGGTGCATAAACTGGCGTTTAATAACCACCTTTGGGGGGATGGGGTTAAATATCGAAATCACCTAGGCAAATAGTTCCACGGGGCATTTTTCAAATGCCGCAACGTGTAATTCCATTATCAGACAGAACCGTTTGAAAGGGGTATCAACTTCTTGAAATCAAGCGTCCCAGACTACTGACACTTACACCCGCACACAGCCTATTTTACTTCCACACCTCTATACAAAGATTTCGGGACTGTGGCTGATGCCAGAAACACATTCCACATTTTAGAAATGTCACCAAAACGCCAAGGGAGAATAGGCCACGGGAGGAACCATTTCTGCCTCTTTTTTTAGGCGATTTACTCCACAATAGTCCTTAGAAGAGGCTGAACAAATCAGCAGATGCAATTACCCAAAGCAAGACCAGTAGCTGATGCTTGGGTACTGATAAGTGAACTCCACCTCATTCAGCGAATGCTACTCACCATGTTGCTAAAGACTGTCTTCAACCAAGCGCTCCCTTCTAGTCCGTGACACTCTGGTCCGGGGAAAAGCGGTTCCAAAAAGTAACTACACGTAATGAGCCCCTTTAGGGTATCAGTTCCTCACAAAGGAGCAGCAACTCTCATTATTGGTAGTCAGGTTGGTCGACCTTAGTTTTTCAAGGTTATGAACCATCCACAACTACCACCCTCGGTGTGATCGAAACTCGAACAGTTGGCGTGGGGAACGGTTAGAAATCCGAGTCGAATATGGATCAAATTGACCTCCCATACCAATCTCAAGAAGCATATGTCGTGTTACGATGGTGGTCGCTCAGTTAAGGTGATGGTCTCAGCGGAATTCCGTGAACATGAGGTTTAGTCGCATCCCCATTTAGCGCCGTCTCATTGATGGGATTTCTAAGGAGAATGAAGCTAGTGCTACGCCTCATACACACATCGGCATACCAGCTTGGTTTTGACGGAAGGCTCAACTGGAACTCAGCTTAATCTCTCGTTTATGGTGCTTTCAAGAAACTGCACCAGGCCACCTCATGTCAGCCGGTACCACTTTCGGGATATCGCGATACATGTATAGACGCAATGCACTACTCATGAGATTATTGAAACTTTTTCGACAGCCCACGACCGGCTTTGCCCTTCTTCGGGTTCATCAGAAAGGTGCAGTTCCTGTCAACCTTATGTTCTGTCATAGATAACTTTGGACAATCACATCGAAACCAATCTTCTGTGTAAATGGGAGTATTTGTCGGAATCTGTCCAACATGACCTCAAGTAGAACATAAGGTTGGGGAAAACTAGACGACTTCACCTTCCTGGTGAGTGAAACTGGTCGCGGGCTGTCGAAGTGTTTTCAGCAACCTTATGAGTAGTGTGTTACGTCCTAGCAACAGAATATGACTGATGGTTCTGCCTAGATCTTCACGTATGACGAACGCCAATTCTAACAGACAAGCTGATCGTGCTAGGTAGGATAAACAAGCGTATTCATTACGATTTATAGGTATTCGTCATATAACCTACTTGTGTGCGGTAATTATTACTTGAAAAATCGAACAGAGATGACTAAGATTAATCGGCAAGGTGGTATGGTAGCGCTGCAGTCCAGTCCAGGCCCAGTCACAACATTGTGCATGTGTTTTGATGACGTCTATTGGCTGACCCAAACAAGCCATCAGCTGATGAACTTGTCCAGCATGCACTGTTGTGCTTCGTACTGTTTTACCTGGTTGTCAAGTTTTGCCGCTTGTTCATACATGCCGTTACTATTTGGTTCGCTCTTGCTAGTCTCCCCGCAAATGATTCACATGGTCGGACCGTCCACCAACCACTACCAAGTGCCAAGGTCGTGACCTTGGTAGTTGTGGCAGTGGCCAATGGAGATGGAGTGAATCCAGCAATCTTGGGAACCAATGATCAGACAGCGAAATCAGGTGATCGCACAGCAGGGGATACCCACGTGAGGAGCTGCAACCACACAGCGATACGCAAAATTGCAACAATGAGATTGACTTTGTCCATCCACCCGTGTTTTGTCTTCAAGGTTTTGACCTCAAGGTCCGGTCCATTCAATAATCGGTTTTCAGAGCTCGCAGCTGCGTGCGGTTAGAAAACTGGTCATAGGTTATGAAATGAGGTTTTGACGGCCTTCAGGTCACCAAGGGACGTGTTTACTTATTCAAGCCATGAAGGTGTTAACGGTGTTGTTGACGGCAAGGGACATGAGAGATGCGTCTGTGCCTAAAATACTAACATGGAGGATGCGGGTTCGAAACGACCTTTCGTGAGCTACGCACTGCAGATGTGATTCCCAGTAGAGAGGGAACAGCTGTACTATGTATGTTTCTCAGTCTTTCAGTATAGATTGGGTTGGCCTACTGGGCAAAGTCTTTTTCAAAACTTCCCAGATCTGGCACTATCAATGAAAAATATATATAGACGTAATAGACTACTCATAAGGTTGCTGAAAATTCTTCAACAGTCCGGTTTCGCCCTTCTTGGGACTCATCAGGTAGGCTCATCATAAACGAGATATTCAGTTGAGTTCCAGGTGAGTCTCCAGCAAATCAAATTTGTTTGCAAATGAGTGTGTTTCGCTAGTATGCATACACCATTTAGTCAACAGCAGTCATCTCCAGGGTTGACCTCATCCCTAATCTATGAGTGCTTTGCAATGTCGTGTTTAGTGTTTATTCGTACAAAATCCGGTTGGATCATTGTTCTATCCGAGGCGTCCAGACAGTTTTATAACGTAATAGCGGTTACTTCAGTTTGAATCGCTGGCACCAACATCATGACGCCCCTCTGGGACACTGAACCGGGGTGTTTTTAAAGGAGAGATTGTGGTAAGTTGTCTGAAGGTTTCTCACACGATTGCTCGGTTGCATTCCCACGTGATCTTCGACAAATCTGATAGATTTGCAATCTCCACCTTGTGCGAATCCGCCTTGTTCATTCCGAATCTGCTAAGACAGATGTAACTGGAACTGCAAACTTGTTGAATACAACCGAAAAACCCAATCGATCGCTAGAAAATGAAACTGAGTGTTCTCTCACGAACCAGACTGAACAATATTCGAAAGAAAGCTAGACAAGAGGTATGAAACCGAGTGGAACAAATTGATAAGTTTTATCTTAAATCACATCTTATATCTTAATGTCCCGGAACTGAAAAGTGCAAAAAAGAACACAACTTGGTCACTTCTTTGTAGAAATAGGAAAAACTGAGTGTCCGAATGCATACTTTTGAAAGAAAAACAACTAACCAGTGAATTAACTCACCTCACCACCGGCTTGACTGTGGAATGAGACCACGTTGCTGTCAGTTGCTTTGGCGACAGGCACTTGGTGATTAGGATCTAAAGTGAAAATAAACATAAATAATTGTTCAGTCGTAACATCGTCTCGGTGCATAGCTGTCATGCCGCCTGATGGAACAGCGAAGAATAAGATACTGCCAGGTTGCCCCAGCCTAGACAGGAGTTGTCGGGGTTGGCTCGAACCATTGACCTTCGGGCCAATAAGTTGTCGCCTTAAGTAGTGAGCTATCTAGAGCACTTGAGAGACCTCGAACTGTGACGTACTACTGAGTAAACTTGGCTTTCTACTGTCTGCCAACAGTTCAATACATCTGAAAGTTGAAGACTGGGATATCCAGAATTGAGCTACGGTGACGTTGTCTCGGTTATCAAGGTAACCCTATATAATGTTCTCTTCTCACATGATTCTTGAACTGATAAAATACTGCTACTACACTTCGACCGAGATTCCATCGCATTTCATCGCCCTCTTGAGTAATAGATTACTTATATTGATCGCGTCAAAACATGGTTGAATCACATGCCACCTGCTACACACAGTCCGCATGTAATCGACTCCCAGCAACTTTACGAGAATGCATACGACAGTCAACATGTTATATCTGCTGATTCGCCAATCTGAGGTATCTGCTGCTGACCCACTCAAGTGCCTAATGCCGGAGAAAAAAGACTCACAGAAGGGAACACAACAGCTATATTCCGAACAAGCGAGTGCGAGAGCGTGAGTGCGTGCGAGTGCGAATGTACGTTCTCAAGCTATTTACTGGAAGGACACTGTCTGAACTTGGTCCAATGCTGACGCACACGATCTCGCTTTGGTACGGGGCTGTGACGTGCTGGATATTGCGGGGGCGTTGTCTGACCTTGATCAACGCTGACTCGCGCTGTCTGGGTTTGATACAAGGCTGTGAGGTGCTGCATGTTGAGGGGGCGTTGTGTGTCTGATCAACATCTAGCGGAGCTGAGAGCGATCAACATCTAGAGGAGCTGAGAGTCTCGGTAGATTTCGGGCATTCAGTGGCTGCTTTCAAGAAGCTGACCTTCCTGATACAACAGTTGTCTCCACGAACAATTTTTGAAACACGACTGTGGCGCCACGATCAATATGACACAGCTGCTCAATTGTTTTCAGTTTCGAATCGAACTCTGACCACGGTTCAGATGTTGATTTAAAAATTGATTTGTTGTTCATTTCGAGCATTTCAAACCCAATAGTTGTGTGGGGACGCCAATATTATACGTTTATCGTGTCCTCACTTACCCTAAGCGTTCAACCTGTACTTGAGTCAGACTTTTCCCGTCCAGATTACCAGAGAAACCCGCACTCCCGTTAGTCTCGTCTGAAGTTCTCCACATGTTCTGACGCAGTTATTCTCGTGAGTCCACACCAAAGAGTGGGAGAAGCACTGGACTCGAGTTACCATTTCCTCAAGGCTCATCAACGATGCATTTCATTGGCCGTGCCGAGGTTTGTAGTGCAAACATCGCTCTGGTTGTCACAGTTTTCCTCCCGACCGAATGCTTTGAAAGTGACCCCCCCCCTACCCGACGGGAAAATTCTGATGAGCACAAATGTGGGGTGTTGCGCGAATCAATCTCATCGCCCGCGCTCGTTCGAATGTGACGTCTATTCACCTCGCACGTCAGGCGTTCACGGCTCCAACGCCGACATGCTCATGGATGTGGGCGTTGCTAACCGGCGTTGCTAACGAGAACGAAATTCAAGTTCCCTTTTTAGTGTAAACTAACCAGAAGAAATATGATTGGATAAGAGGAGAATTGTTCTCACGATGTGAATGAAACTAGACACAGCTATTGTTGGGTCTTATGGACAAGTCTAGATTAAGAACTGTTCCGTGGGGCGTCTGTGTAGAACTTGCTCAACAAGTGATCTCATCAACGAGTACAGGTCTCTCAGATTTACTGTATCATAACCACAAAAATCCCGAATCGATACGACACAGCTGTGTTAACTGTTCCTTGAAGACCTCGTTCCCAGGCCAACACCGGCCTAAGTAACAAAATGCCAAACACAATATTCTATGATAGACACTACTTCAGTCAGTTTACACACACAGAACTTGCCTGAATGTTGAGCAGTGCAACTCAGATGCCGATGAGTAGCGCTCGTGTGTGGTCCTGTCTAGGTGTGGGCGCCCTGACAGTACCCCAGCCCTCGTACAACCATATGGCAGTGAAGCAACCGTGTTGAACACTGGTGTCATTTTGTCGATGAAAAGAAAGAAAGCGTTCAGCTGTAGCACACTTTCGGTGCCTAGCTGCCATGCCACCCGAAGGAAGCACGAGGGCTGGGATACTGCCAGATTGTCCAAGCCTAGACAGGGGAAGTTGAGTGGCGAAGGTCGGATTCGAACCGCGTCGTTGATGATGGTGATGATGATCATGATCATGATGATGATGACGGGATGATGATGCTGCTGCTGCTGATGATGATGATGATGCTCGTGTGTGGATTCACCTGTCCCGTCGTGCATCTGATGTTGGTGCCTCACCTTGCTTTGTCGAATTTCACCGAATTCCACAATGTTACTTATATTCTTTAGTTTCACGCCTCCTGAGACAAGATTACACGATTCTGGTCGGTTGCCTCGATCACTGCGACCAATTAGCAAATGCTTCGACAATTTGTTGAAACGAGGTAACAAATTAAAAACTAAAAAAACCAACTCCATGTGCCTATTCGTGATAACACCTGACCGATAAGTAAACCAATAACAATGAAAGTTGGTACCGAATCAATAGGGGGGGGGGCTTACTTTGACTAATGCATTCTACTTTGATCTCTACATGTACGTGTTCGGTAGTGACTTCCTAAAAAGTTGTGAATAAAATGCCTTATCTTTGGCAGCGCTTACCTTGTCCTTGTCACTAAGTATTGAAATAATGACAAAACCGGTGACAGACTGTCGAATTCCAGTCGTATCGCATTACGGGAAAAACATGTCAATATCTTGAATGTCACCCCGGTTGAAACATGAGACGGTCTTTAGGCGGCATATTCGGTCGAGGAATGTAACGAATGGGAAATTCATTCGAGTCCCCCTATCAAAGCCACCGTAATTGGCAATCATCAGCACGTGATTGATTGTTCATTTTGCATCTAAAATCGATTATGTTGACACATGTGAGGGGATAAGTGAGCGCCTCTCTTGTCCGCATAGCGTGATGCTCATTAGTTCGGTCGCGTCGCCCACCATTGACATGGGTCACGTGACCACCCCTCGCACATCGTTTTCACATCACCGACATGCCCCGTGCTGTCAGAATTGAAATGACTTGGTCACGTGTCACATGCAGCCAGACCAAACGAGTCCTGGGACCACCCTCTGTCCAACTAGACGAGGTTTTTTGTCATCCACTTTTGTATCGCCTAACCTGGTCTTAGCTACGATCGCTGTCATTTGTTCTCTAGGTGTGTACTGACCTGATGAAGAGATCATGTGGCGTTCTTCACTTCGTGATCAAAGATGAGATTATCCCATCGGTTGTTTTAATTAGAAGGTGCGTGAGTGTTCACCTTTATTTCTGCTCACCTGAGGCCGCTTTCCACACCATGTCTATTCTTCTCGAAGTTTCTTGATTGACGAGGAAGTGGGACGAACCACAAACGTACTAGAAAACCTGTGTTCCAACGGAGACGTCTTTGTAAACTTTGGGGACAACAGTCCATAACCCTTGGACGGTTCGCCGAGCTTGGCAGTTGGATTGCAACTGCTTCGTCACCTATCGAGCTGATATCGTCAGTTCGCGGGGTTCAGTGACTGTTGAGCACCGAGGATGTCACCCTGATTGGGATGGAAACCGTTGCAATCCAATTACAAAGGTCACGGGACAGACCAACAACTAAGCAGCGCACCTGAACTAACTGTATTCCGCAATATCTCCAAAGTTTAAGTATACCACTGTATGTAAGTTCCTAATACCGCTTAGTATGGAAGTACTGGTTCAGGGGACTCGATTTGCTGGTCTCATTTTTCACCTGTTCAGCTGATTAACCAAGTTCTTTGAGGTAAACCACCGTAAGAACCAAACTTGTTCATTTAAAATCGATCGAAACTCACAAAAGTTGTAGAGGATTAGTTGGGAAAAGGTGAACTGGTCAACACTTGAAAAATACGGATGAAATGAATGGGAAAACGGTACTCGAAAGCACACCAGGTTCGTACAAATACTCACCGTTTGACTTGACTCTAGCCCCAACCGTATACAGGATCGATTTCCTTCGTACCAAGTAAAAAAGAATGCCAGCTGCACACAAAAGGACGATGAAAACTACGACAAGGCATATGATCACCGCCTCGCTAACAACTAGACTTGTAGGTGCATGGTTAAACTCCCGCAGACTTCTTCCATCGCCGTCGACATATACCCTTCGGTTGGGAATCACACCATCCATATTCCAGTTGTACTTGTCCAGTTGATCACGTGACAGCCCGTCGGAACGGTAGTAACCGTCTACTGGATTTCTGCCGCCCGACGACCAAGCTCGACCTTCGGAATATTTGATGCGACTGTTCTCAGGCAGACCACCGCTTGCTTGAACCATTTTCGCCCCCGCGGCATTTTGTGAACCATCCTCTTTGAGTTTGTTGCCACTTGAGGTGAGTGGGCCCAAGGATTCTGGGTAAATGTATTCATTAGTCATGTGAGCAGGCAGCTGGTCACGTGAAACCAAGTTTGACATTTCATCGACATCGAGAAGCAATCGGACCCAGATTGGTGTCGCACAGCGCCTCGGTACTCCGTGATCACAAGCCTCAAACAACAGTCGATATTCTCTGTTTGTCATAGTGGGAGGTTCGGCTATGTTTGTTTGAGCGGACGAACCTGCTTGAGTATTTTGTTGATCGATTGCTATCTTTGGCGAGATCATCAAAATCCCAGTGACGTTGTCCAAAGTGAAAAATCCGGCCGGATTTCCGGCACCGATTCGGTAGGTGATACGACCATTTTCACCTGAATCTGCGTCGGTCGCCTCCACTTGTAGCAGTGGCCTCCCATTGGTTGTAGGATTTCCGTCTACACAAAGGGAAAGGAAAGGTTTGTGCTCAAACACTGACTGGAAGAGTCGAGCAGAGTATAATCAATATATTTTCACAAAAAATCTCGTTAATGTGACTGGTTTCAGGATCGATAGGTTTAACCGTTTGATCAGGCTGTCGTCTGATTGGTTGATTATCACCTCCTGAACTACACCCAATGAACGTTGTCTCATTCGCTGATCTCCTCAGATCATTATTTAATGTCACTGGCGACGGGGTTGAGATTGTCAGGTAAGTATAAAATTCAGTGAAAAAAGGTCCGTGACAAAAGAGATATATATGGCACAAGGAACCTACAAGATGACGCGGCATCTAAACTAGACAGTCATAGCCAACCGTGGATCACGTTTCCTCTTAACTGCGAGAGAATGATTATGAAGTATTCTAATCCGAGCCGTTATTGCTGCGGCATGCCAACTTATCAACTGAGATGGCTCAATAGTTAGAGTGCGAATTTACTGACCGGAAGGTTCGTGGTTCGAATCCGACGTCTGCCTCGCGACTTCTCCTGTCTAAGCTTGGGCAACCTGGCAGAATCCCAGCCTTCGTGCTTCCTTCGGGTTGCATGGTAGCTGAACGATTATCTTATCTTATAAACCTCAACTAAGTTCATCCACACTGTTCCAATGAGAAAGGTAAACGCTGTCAAATTCTGCTTGATAAACTGAAACTTTGACGTCTTTGCGCCAAAAAAATTTCTGCGAATTTCGAACCAATCCGCACTTTCTCACCAGTCCGTCTTCTCCCGCTCGCTCACTCTCCCTGTGTGTGTGGTTTTCAGTGATAAGAACATGTTGTAGTCATGCGTGAAAATCACGCGTCGAAAACCCGAAAGCTGCTTTGTTCTCCGTGTATACGTGTGTCTGCGATAGAGACGATTCTACTCGGTGACGACGCTGAAGTACGGAATTCTCATCTTGATGATGGCGATCATGATAATGAGGATAATGTTGATGATGGTGATGTTGAAGATTAGATTGATCGCGATAATGTGGATGACAATAACGCTGATCCTGTCTAGCTTGGGCAACCTGGCAGAATCCCAGCCTTCGTGCTTCCTTCGGGTTGCATGGTAGCTGAACGATTATCTTATCTTATAAACCTCAACTAAGTTCATCCACACTGTTCCAATGAGAAAGGTAAACGCTGTCAAATTCTGCTTGATAAACTGAAACTTTGACGTCTTTGCGCCAAAAAAATTTCTGCGAATTTCGAACCAATCCGCACTTTCTCACCAGTCCGTCTTCTCCCGCTCGCTCACTCTCCCTGTGTGTGTGGTTTTCAGTGATAAGAACATGTTGTAGTCATGCGTGAAAATCACGCGTCGAAAACCCGAAAGCTGCTTTGTTCTCCGTGTATACGTGTGTCTGCGATAGAGACGATTCTACTCGGTGACGACGCTGAAGTACGGAATTCTCATCTTGATGACAAAAAACCAAGTGCTTGAACAAATTTGGATTGATTTTATGACGAGACTCCCGCTAATCAATACGATTAATCAATGCGTACAGCTCATCTTGTGAAGTTCAAATTCCCACCAAAAATTTCCATTACTTGGTTGGGTTGGGTATGACAGGTACGAACATGTTTAACCCTTCAGTTGTTAGTCCAGTTTAGCTAGTACTCCTCTGAAATCGGAAGACCAATCAGGAGTCGTCGAGCTGCCGCTCACGTGATTTCCCTTGGGGTGTTGATGAACAGTTGTACTGGAATATGAAAAGGGTCAAATCGCACATCTCTGGATTCGAAATCGTTCAACTGTGCTTACTTACTCGTTCTTGAAACACAAAACAGTACGAATCGCCATAGCAGATAGTCTGCGAGTGACGTTGAATCCAACCGCAATACGCACCACATAATTAACGTATAAAAAAGAGAACGTACAAATCGATATTAGAAATCAAACAGTGTACGCACCCAAAGCGAATACAACCAAGCTGCGCGGTCCTTTGAGTCGTCTTTCCTTGTGGTTGGAAACCTTGCAATACATGGTGCGTAGCAGATCTGAGTAGCGAACAGTCTGTAACTTCCTAGCGGGACTTTCAGTTGACTCTTGTGGGAGATGAGGTTTGTGGGGATACTAAACGAATCCTGCTGACTGATTACCGCAGCGCTGTTGGAAAATTAGACAACTAGTGACATACGACTTCAAGTCCCTAGCTCCTGGATTCACGACCACTCTATGATAAGACCAGCCTGCTTTGTGTCTGTAATGCAGTGGGGTAGAATTACTTACTACTGGGGAGCTCAAGATAGATCAGTGGTTAACGGGGGAACTCAATCACCAGATGGACCGTGGTTCGAACCTAACCTCGGAATCTTGACGGCTCCTGTCTAGGAGTGGGCAACCTGGCAGTAACCCAGCCCTCGAGTGGAATGGTAACTCGGCACGAAGCCATCATCAGAATTTCGGGTAAGGCTCACCATAGTTCATCAGCTGAGATGATTGCTCAGCCAGGTTGGTTAGTTTGAACAAAGTTTGGAAGTTACATATGAATCAGCTTGTGTTCATTTATCCAATCTGCTAGGATTTTTCATGTAACTCTTTACAATTCTTCTGTGGTAACTGGATTCATGGGAGTGTGTGGATAAAATGGTCTTCCGGCAGACAGACTGGTGTTGATCTCCCCAGAGTGGAGTGACGCTCGACGCGACCTCACTGCAAGGATCCTCTCTTGGAACAGGTCCTAGGTTGGGGATCCATCAGGACACGCAAAAATACTGGACGCATTATAATTTCCACTCGAATACACACATCCCTACCAATTGCAGTCACTTTCGATTCTCGTGATAATCCATTACACTCATATCCGACAAGACAGACCTGTATGTCCTAATCTTGCTTAAGTGGTATTTACTGCCTCAGGCATCAATACATTTCAATCCCATTAACGACGATCATTGTCTCGATGAATGCAGGATATGTGTACATTTTTGGGGCTTTCCAACAAGAATTTCACGCTTTCTAGAAGACGGAACACACTACTCTTAAGGTTGCTGAAAACTTCAGACAGCCCGGTTTCGCCTTTGTTGAAGCTCGTCAGTGCCCTGGTTTCCAAATGAGTGTATTTTGGTGTAGATATTCGATAAAGTACATAAATTTATTCCTAGTTTTGGGTAGCTGAGGAGGTAAGCGTGGAGAAACTGATGAGTTTGATTGGGCTGTATAAAACGAAAATTTCGAGTTCCTAGGGGCATTACATGAATGTGGTTAGATCGAAGAGGCATGAGCGACGATTCAAACAAAATTTCAGTCGATAGGCGTGTGCGTCTAGTTCATATCAGACCCAACTCCACCATACCTGCGAGAAGAATAGCTCGCTAAGTTTCTGCTTCCTACTGTAGAAGCATCAAAGCTTATGTCCAACAGAGATTCAATCTAGTCAGAAAAGACAATATGTCCTGATAAGCCGAGAACCACCGAACAGCTGTTTCATCCTTGTTAAGAGTCGTCCGCAGTGCGTGTATCACGAAACTCCCGGGCAGTCTCGAACTGGTGACCTTCTGGCAGGAAGCTTAGCCGTTTGACTACGATTGGTTGATCAGCAGTGTGATTAGCTCTCGCCTAGACAGAGGACACAGCACCACTTCGTCATCGATCAAAGAAACCGCATCACGTGGTCGCTTATTGACTGGTTCCCCGTGTGACAAATTGGCTGTTAAATGCGCTAATATAACTACCGAGGTATCTAAGATTTTCCACAATCTCCAGTGATTCTCCTTGAACTGTAAGGGATATGTTGGCAGATGGCACGTTCTGAAGCGTGACTTTGCAAGCCGCATGTCAAAAGATGGTATGGTGGTGGTCACGGGGCTTGTGCTCCTCTTTGGTCTTCAAAGATGACGGCCATGTCGTCTGTGTGCTCGATATCAACAGGACTGATGGAATATACAAACATCATAGATCGTTTAGTGCTTTTTTCTTCAGAAAATTGAAACATAACGCGCAGGAAACAGAGTGCACGAAAGCAAAAACCTCTGGTCTAGTCTGGCTGAAAAAAAGGATACTCGAGTAATACTAACTCGTACACAAATATAGTAAGTACGTCGAATAATTTTATGCAGTAAGTAGGCGTGGCAACCTATCAGCATAAAAAAGCACTGAAACTGTTTTTTGTGGTGCATCGAATGAACAGGTCTTGGTAACAGATTTTTGTGTCCGATTCATGCAGAACCAACCAATGGCTGCGCACTTTACAGTTCGTCATTCACACTATTTGATTCGTGTGCAGACGACTCGAGTTTGGATCGAGTACCAAAACTCCTTCTCATTGTCCTTATTGATACCCACTACTAATCGCGCATCATCGTGAGAAAATCTCCAATCAGACTCACCTCTGTCCAAATATTGCGACCATGTGTTCCGATGCACGACAACAATGGGAATACCTGCATCCTGGCTGTCTGTTCTCCGATTGCCAAGCGGAGACTGGTGTGGTGGTGTTCCCTCTGTCAAACTCAAACTGCCCTCCCCTCGTCTCACCGAAACACCACCGGCTTGCGCCGAATCCTTTTGCGCCAGAGGATTAACTGTCAAGGGACTGTCCAACTTCGATTCTCCCGTCGTTGCGGCTCTGCTGACAGCACCCACGGGACGAATAAATACCGGGTCGTTATCGTTTTCGTCCTTGGAAACGGGTAGGTAGGAAACAAATGATTCGGCTTTTTCCAACTTCAGACCGAAAATTTCAGTTTTCAATGAAACAAAAGCGAAGGAAATCTAAGATGTTGCCACACCTTTAAAACACCAAAATAATTGAATAGTTTTTAAACATGGGTCTTTTTATCCTGCAAACCAGGAAACAAGATGAAGCTGTTTCATTTCTAATGGAATTCATCAATGCTTGTTGTTTCACAAATCTGAACTCGAAACGTCCTGAATGCTGCCATTCAATTACGCATCCGTCACGTGACAGACTGGAGATCAAACAACCTAAACCCCGCAGTCCCTCAATAACTTTGCTTGAGTCACGTGATTTGGTGTTGGCCGGCTGACCTATTGACGACTCGTCAGATAGAGACGCATATGCCGTGTCGGTCTTTTTGAGCGAGCTAAAAGTGAGTAACGGGGATAGTCTAAAGACCCATATCCTTCCAGCATAGGCTGACTGCTCTCGAGTGAACTCAAATTTCAAAACTCGGACATTCCAAACTGCCAGAAAATATCCGTCAGTTTTATCCAAACTTCCAGGAATTGAACCCAAAGTGTTAATGGCTAGTCTCACAATATTTCTTCTTTTGAATTTAGAGCGTTTCACTCTGTAAACAGGGAGAAATTAGAACACCAGCCGGGGAAATACACCCATTTGCAAACAAATTTGGTTTTGCGAGAGACTCATCTGAAATCCAGACGAGTCCCTCGCCTATGGTGTTCGCGATATCTCGAATATCGTACCAAATGAAACACGAGGCGGCCTGGTGCAGCACGTTCAGTTTCCTAAAAACATTATGAACGAGAGATTCAGTTGGGTTCCAGGTGAGTCTTTCGCAAAAACAATTCTGTTTGCAAATGAGTGTATTTTTGTGCAATTTGGGTTCAAGGTTGACGGAAACTCGGGGACTGTGCCTACCTGATGAGCCTGGAGAAGGCCAAAACAGGTCATGGGCTGTCAGTAACCTTATGAGTAGTGTATTACGTCTATAAATATGAACAGTATACACACTTCGTTTGAAGGTGTTTCTGCTAATGGCCTTCAGTCATCATCCCCTTCAAGGTATGATGGCTTGGGGAGGTTCAAGATTTTCAAATAAGATTTCGTCCTGCAAGTGAAGCCGATCTGCGCTCAAAAGCCCGAAAGCACTGTACAGCTGTCCCTTCTCTATTGGGAATCATCAACAGCCCCATCTTACGAAGCTCCAGTGAGGAGAGAGAGCTTTGAACCGGCGACCTCCTGGATAGAAGATTGAAGTGTTGACCGTTAAACCACGATCAGCTGATCAGCAGGTTGGTCTACTTGTAATTAGACAAGATATAGCGTCATTCACCCAACAAGGCTTCTCAGCGTAGACTGGATTCCCTTACAGGACGGAGTCTCCGTTGAAGTATGCACCTTGTTTGTGAAGCCATCTTGATCATCGCGGCCAGTACCGCGGCAGTGGTAACTAATACTGCGAAACAAGCTGAAACAGAAACTGAATGTTGAGTGCACTCGAACAGGAAGCGTGGACAGTTGTCTCGCAGATCACTATTTGAACAGAGTAAATGGTTGACAGATATCGATCCGTACTGGAATAAACAAACACACTAGAGCGAAAACACACCGTACGCGATGGTAACATGCACTGGAACGGTTTGGCCAGGTAGTTTGGCTACGAAATGACGAGACGCGTCACGCTGTGTTGGATTTTCAACCAAGAAGAATCACGCGGGCTCTTTTATGAAAGCACAAAGAATTCATTTGTAAGGATGATGGTCCCCAACCAAACGAAAAAGTATACCTCGCCACGACTACCATGTCCGATGTTCGTCACCAAACAAAAGTTTCAAATGTAAAAGAGTAAAATTGTGGCCCGACGGGAGGTTGCAGGAAGAATGGATGAAGCCGTTAGATTGAGAGTCCCCCACTGATCGCAGTGTCTGTTTTTTGAACGGTCTCTTTTAAGTACAGCTGAGCATGTACTTATTGAAAATTCATAGCCAAAGATCGAACCATTCATCTCAAATTTTTTGGCACTGAGTAGGCCACATTTTGATGATCATAGCTGCGTGTTTTGCACTTAACAAAATGAAAACTGCCCCGTTCTGTTATTCTTCATGTGTCAAAGAATGGAAAATATGTGAAAAATGCTTTGAGTGGGGGGAGGGGAGATGATGACATGCAAAATCCATTACTACGCATTAGTGAATCGGGCATACACATCAACATCGTCACCTGACGTACCCGGCCGGTGTAACAATAGTCCGGCGCTGAGTTGGCAGTCAGTTTTCGCATCAGTGGATGGTGGATAATAACAGCATACGTAGAACTGCTTGTATGGTTGACATGATTGTCGAGCTTTTGTACAGTTCGCTTTGTAATTGTTCGTGAATAATGTAACGAGAAGAACCGGCAGAACACAGAGCCAGCTGAGGTGTCTGCCAATAGGATTGCGCTCTAACCGTTGATGTGCCCGACTGTTTATTGATTGATTTCAGTAAAACACATTGTAAACGAACTTGAATAACCTAAACTATTCGTTGACATAAAAAAGGAACCTAGTGATCACCCTGAACAGTTGCTGACCTTCAGTCTGGGTAATTCTGCGACCGACGTCGGTCTTTATCAAGAACTGGGGACCCCGCAAAACGGGGCGTTCCTAACGTACTCTCCTCAATCAACTCTTATTCGCAAGGGCTCCACTTTGGAGTTGTCCCGCTTGACCTAGAACGTAAAACTGCGAAATTCCAGACGTAGCACACCACTCATAAGGTCGCTGAAGAAAGTTCGGTAGCCCACCACCGGCGTCACCCTTCTTTGGGCGCATCATATAGGTTCAGTGCTTGAGTTCCCGTCAATTCAAATAAAACAGAATTATCCAACTACTCCCATTTACATACTAATCTGGTCTTGACGTGAAACTCAACTGAATCCAGCTAAATCTTTCACCTTCGCCTACCTGGTGAGCCCCAAGAAGGGTGAAACCAGTCCTGGGCTGTCCAACAGTTTTTAAGCAACCAAATTGGTGAGAAGACGAGATTAATCAAAGCTCATTTTGTGTTTTCGACGCAGTATGGTAGAGGAACTGCTTCCATCCGGTCTTACTCAACTGAAGCTAAATCTTTCACCTTCGCCTACCTGGTGAGCCCCAAGAAGGGTGAAACCAGTCCTGGGCTGTCCAACAGTTTTTAAGCAACCAAATTGGTGAGAAGACGAGATTAATCAAAGCTCATTTTGTGTTTTCGACGCAGTATGGTAGAGGAACTGCTTCCATCCGGTCTTCTGATAAAAAGACATTTCGTTTTGTGCGTAGAGTCCGTTTATACCAACAAGCTCAGAGGCATCTTGGAAGCGTATTAGTGCAGCTGCTTCATTGTTTTTCGCAATTCAGAAGCATGAGAGTAAAAAACCACAAAAAAGGGAATTTTATTGATCTGCTTGCAGTGGGTTGTTGTTGGCCTTCCGATATTTGATCATCGATTCGTCGCACAAGAGAACTGTAAAACGAGTACGTGGGAGTGTCTAATCTAGACGGCATGAGCTGCTTCCGCTGGTCACAGGATGAATTGAGTCGGCACTCGGGATTTCTTGAATTCGGAGGGCCATTAAACCAAAATGTGAGTTGAGTCGGCGCCGCAAGCATCACTCAACCAAATGACAGCCAATACCGTTCAAAGTAGGAAGGTTCCATCTGTTAATTCAGTCGACATCTCTCCTGAACCATATGTTGGCCAACCGCCGGAAGCTCATCCACTTCCGTTAGCATCGCTTTACATTTCCAGTGGATCAATGAGACCACATTTTATCGTTTACTTTATGTGTAGTATGTATTCCGGAGAAATGAATTCACCGTAGGCGCTCCTACGCACCTTCAAACTGGCTGCAGTTCTCAGCCAATCCCGATGGTGCACTCTCTTCTCCTTTTTTTCGTACGAGAAGTAATAAACAACCTGCGATGCTTGGTCGGGTGCATTACTTTGTGATGTAATCCGTTAATTGGCTCTTCACAAGGCCTTTCATTCGACCAACTGTCAGTTGACTGAAACACCGGACAACCTGTGGAATCCCGTGGAACAAACGACAATCTGATGAGAACACGGACCACAAAAACACAATCAGTACCCGGAAACGTAATGCACTTTCTCGATCGTCACCGTAACATACACCATACATCTTGTTTGTTTGCGTTCTGAAGTAAGTTTAGAAAAAGAGTCACGAATAGGTTCGCGTTGATGATCCTTCAAATTGATTATTTTAACGTGATAAGAGTTGCATTTCCCACGTAGCTGATGGAACACTTCACCGTCAATGCTAGCTGCGTTTTCTGGCTTTAATGACCACCGTTACCAGATTAGGATCATAGTTTCATGGGGGCTTAAAAACACAACACATGCGCTCACCCGGAACTGAGGTCTGGCGTCAGTTCACAGAGAACCCGTTTATCGTTTAGCCACACCGGCCGGCTGCTCAATACATTTCAATAATCACCCTCGAATATCAATTTGAAAAATCCAAGCGAATCCGATCGGACTAGGTGCGTGATCAGACGGAGGGATGTATAGAAGTTCAAACCACTTTCAAAGAGTCGGGCACACCAATCACATCGCTCAAGTGTGAACACGTTCGCCTGTTCACACGTGAAAATTCAGATGCGTCCAGCATTCGTTGGTGGAGTAGTGGTTACACGCTCGCCTCGCATGTCACATGTCCGGGGTTCAAATCCCATCACAGCCATTAGATATGCACTGCTGATGAGCTCTAATAAGAGCGAAACTCGAGTCCAGTGCTTCCCTTTAGTGTGGACTCACTGGAATAATTACGCCAGAGAAGGGACATGACCGTTCAAACGAGAGTAGTGTAACTATGATCACCTTCAGAGAATTTCATAGAATCACCCCAATTACCAGCCTTGGCCTTCAGAAAAGTTGTACTTTAACTGTCCGAACAACTTTCAGTAGTGTTCTCGAATTGAGTGAATTCCTCTCCCATTTAACTAAATAGTTTGATTTTAAGATGGAAACTGGGGTGGAATTGCAAGGTGTGGTCAGATCGGATTATCAGCTATGTCCACTTTCGCTCCTCATTTTCACAGCCGTTCCCCTCCTGTAACCTAACCGATATGTAAGGTGCGGATGGGCACAAGTGGTGGCATATACTAGGTCGTTTATTCTGTTCGAACCAGACAGTGCAACCGGACCACCAGTTGATCAACTGACAAGTCATCACGGAATAATGATCAATTATCGATCACACATCGATCGTATAATTCGAAAAAGCATGAGTGGTACACGAGTGTCTGCGTAAGCGTGCAGTCCCAATACACCTTCTCCCTGATCCGAAATGCTACGTGCGCACTAAACTGCTGAGTGGTAATGAAAGGCGTTCATTTGCTAATTAATTTGTTGTATTCAACTGAACCCCTGGTTTACCATAGTTTGGACAAAGACCACTTTGTTTTCAGCTCGGTTTCACAGAATCGATCGTTTGTAAATCTTTTCACCATTTGTGCCCAATTTTGTGGAAATTGATGGAGACTCGTGAAGTATTTGATGGGCCTCAAGCAGAACAGAACCCGTTGGTGTGTCCAGCGTCCTCATCAGTAGACGATTCAATCAAAACACGCCATAGCGGCAGAAGAAATAGCGTCTGGGAAGGAGAATATGACAACATATCGTGTTTTGTTCTTCTTCGGCGTTGTGCTGGACGGCACTATTTTGAAAGTCCATCGGGATTCGCACGGGAAAGAGCGGCTAAGCGTGGTCGACAAACCAAACTGGTACAACCAGGTGGGCAAACAGATTGCGCGAATAAACCAACACCCATCATTACAATCTGAGTCACTAATGTTCGCTCGAACTACAAGCAGGCCAGACCAATCTATGAAATCCCTGATTGGAGAGGAGTTGTAATTTTGACTGCAACGAATAGAAAGATATCTTTTTAATGTACTACTCGTAAGGTTGCTGAAAATCCGTCGACAGCCCACGACCGGTTTCGCCCTTTTTTGGGGCTGATCAGCTAGGCACAGTCCCCGGGTTTCCGTCAACCTTAAGTTCTGCTTGAAACCAAACTGCACGAAATTAGCGAATATACACTCATTTGCAAACTAATTTGGTTTTTCGAGAGTCTCATCTGGAACCCAGCTGAATCTCTCGTTTGTGATGTTTACAGGCAAGAAAGATAGTTCCAGAATGAAAATTGTGGTTGATCTAGGGAGGGAGATGGTCGTTGGAGGGGGGATTAATTACAACTAGCTCTTGGTAAACCTGAGCAGCTTACAGATGATACCTTGCTTCTTAAATCTCCAACTCAAATTGAAAATCTCCAGTGGATTAAAACTCAGGGGTCAAAAGGAGTTTTGGAGTGTTAACCATCAATAAGCAGTCGGGAAATTTGAGTGGTTCTCAAATTAAGTAATACTCAACATAAACTGAAGAGTGCGGAAAGAAAACTTTGTCCAATTGAGTGGACCGTACTTACTTCAACAAATACAGTCACTGTGGCTGTCGCCGATCTTTCCTGACCCGCCTCACTCCCTGTGTCACACGCGACCACATTGAACACATATACGGCTTGTTTCTCTCGATCTAACGACACACGTGTTCTCAGGTAGCCACTGGTGGAATGCACACTGAAAGTTTTACGCAGCTCCGGTTCTGAATCTGCGGCAAGTTGCAGACTAATCTGTGAATTTTGAACACCGGTAGTGGGGATATCGCTCGCACCGCGTTGACCAATGTCCGGATCGATAGCTGCAATTCTACCCACCAGCCAGTAAGGAGGCTTATTCTCTCTAACGTGGAACACATAGCTGCTCACGTATTCCACAGGAGCCGAGTGTGCCGCCGTATGGCTCGCTTCCTCATCATTTGTCACGTTGGCTTTGTAGAATACCGGTGGCCAATCATTCACATCGGTTATGCGGATTTCCACCTCAGCTGTTCCAGTCAAAGCAACCGATTCTTTTGCCTGATCCACAGCAAGCACGTTCAGACGAAACACGGCCACATTCTCCGCATCGAATGATTTGAGGGCGTACAAAACCCCGGTTTGTTCATCGATTCGGAAAAGGTCCTCAACGGTGGGTTTCTGTTCAATCAATGATGAACTACTGTAGGTGAAAGTATTTCGAATCGAACTATCTGTTCCGTGTAAAAATGTGTGATTTTCTGCCGTATTCGCCGGTGTAATCTCTAATCGATCAGGGGCTAATCGGTAGATAATATGAGCATTTTCACCGAGGTCATTGTCATGAGCAATCACTTTACCGACTCGATGGCCTACTGGCACCAAGGATCCGTTTGGGGTTCGTACTGGCAGTGTACTGTCTGAATCGGTATTCTCTGACAGTCTGAATCGATAGATGGACTTTGTGAAGGTAGGCACTTCGTCGTTGACATCCAATACGCGGATTCGAAGGGTTTGTTCATTGGAGTTCCCTACGGTGTCTAGACACTTTATCCGCACTTGCAACACAGGGGTACGCTCTCTGTCAGGTTGGATCAACAAAGTAAGCATGTAATCATTGTTCGAGTCATCATGCTCTCCAGTAGTGTAAGACAAATCAGCCAGGTTGATTGAACGCACGGGGACGAGGGAGAAGTTTGTAGTGTCTGTCAGCTGACACGAAACTTTGTCCTTGCCATTGAAGTCTGGGTCTCTGACTTGAATGTAGGCCAAGCGAACCGGTGCGACGGCATTTTCGGTTACAACACCTGAACGGAATGAGAGGGAAACAGTAGCTCAACTATTCAGAACAATCTGAAATTTAACTAACTTTGGTTGCGAAGATGCAACAAAGGTTAATTTTCAGTTCTGAACCCCATCAAACTGGCCGCCCAAAACATTGTCTGTACACATCCAGAAGAAATCTCTGGTCATACTTCCTGATGGACCTCTCCACCGAGAAATCACTTCAAGTAGTTTATGCCAGCCACTATACACTTTCGAAATACGGTTCTTAACATATTTCCGAACGAGTTCATAACGAGTTCTTTCAATGATCTTTCATGCCAATCAGACGAGGCGGAGTTCAAAGCCCAAGTGATCACCGACCAATCACGCGACAGAATTACAGACCAACCAACAGAATCACCGACCGGAACAACCAATCGCGATCTAAGATTAGTCCTGGCTAGCGGCACGCATATTAACATCCACGCACCAGTATTCAACGCACAACCATTGACTCACCGGTATGATCCACTCCTCTCCCTTACAACGCAATGATGATGTCATCTCAGTTGGTGATGAAGCGTATGCAATCAAATCGCTCAGCTCACAACTATCGTTTACATCAATCTGTTATATCTGCTGATTCGCCAATCTGTTGTATCTCTCCCTGCCTAGTGCCGGAAAAAGAATCATCGATAAGGAACACAACAGCTCATTTCAAATAAGCGAGCGCGAAAGTGTGAGTGCGTGTGAATGCAAAGGTTCAACGGCCCCACGCTATTTAAAAGACGCTTTCTGCGATTGATCCAGGCTGTTTGATAGGCGTTTAGTGAATACCCATCAACACTGATCGTGCTTTTATGAAATGCCTGAACGCCGATCACATTCGGTCGCGCTTCTGTGGCGTGCGTGACTCACCAACTAATGGTTGGATTCTTATATCCAAATGACTCTGATAAGTTGGGTAGTAAGCGAACTACACTGATTTGCATACCAATTCGGTTTTGAAACCCAAGTGGAACAAGGTTGAAAGAAACTCGGGGACTGTGCCCATTTGACGAGACCCAAGAAGGGCAAAACCGGTCGTGGGTTGTCGACGGATTTTCAGATCCTATTGTGTGCTCTCTACAGTGTGTTGATAAAGAACTTCCATTGTAGCTGGATGAATTCCAAAATATTCTGTGAGGAGGGGTGAGACTTTACATTCCGCTGGAAGCGAAATCCCCAGGCCTCAAGCAACCAGCGGCTTTCTCATGAATAGGTAGGATGAGTTATCGCGAACACCTATTCTTATAAAATGAAGAAAACAATGAATAATGTCGGGAATCGAGAAATAGTGAATCATTATTAGGTATTGGCTCACATCAACCGAATGAGACCACGCGCTTATCCAGGACAAAGTCATCAGTTAAATCCACTCAAGCTCAAACGAAAAGAATTCACTAATGTGATGGTTTATGACGTAAACTGTTTGAAATGACAGGTAACTAAAAATATCCGAGTCAGCGGCATGGGAAAGAACTAGAGGAGAACTCAGGCCCAGCTCATGGGACTTACGGCGGAAAAAAGTCCCACGTTTCAAAAATTCTGCTTTCGATTGAGGCACTTCGCCAACGGAGCAGCATTATGCTGGATAACGTGTCTTTTTTCCATCCAACAAATGTCTTTCAGCTGACCTAGACTCCACCACATCCAGCCATTCACGAAGTGTGCAACGGATATCACTTGAACACGTTTGAAAACGCGATCACGTGATACAAATCTGGGTAAATCTCTGGATAACTGGGTTCGAATGGTCGATTCAAGCAGGTGGAGCCCAAGGACCGTGGTTTGAAAGTACCTGGCCCGAATCAACGTGTTGTCTCTTCATGCCTACTTCGAGTGACCCATCCCAGTTTAGTTTAGGCTAAGTAGTGTGCTCCCTTGTTCCACAGACGGGGGGGGGGGTTCATCAGATGAAGTCATTTCATGCATCCCATCAGTCGAAACACACGGAGCGCCGTCATAAAACCGATATGCTCAGACATGAAACAGTAGCTCTACGGTGTATCCGAACATCAGTAATTTTAAAGTGCAATTGAGCTGGCTGCCCACCAGTTTTGGGAATATCAATGTAAATCTCTTGGTAAGTGATGCATGCCGCCAAGTACGAATATGCAAGTCAACGTCACGTGATTGGCAGCTAACACCGATCAGTGTACAAAAGTTTCGCCACCGTAAACTACAGTAGTTACATCGGTGTGATAAACAAAACGATCCCTGTCGTACGTATAAGAGTGTGGGCTATTTACAAAGTTTGGAATTCGTCTTCATTCTCGATTTTTTTCAATGTATTGCGGCCATGTGGACGGGACCTGACAGAGGCCCAAAGTTGTAATTAGGATAGTCAAGCAGTCGATAACCTTATTTCCGTCCGATGCGGTTGGATTCAGCTGAATCAAAGCCGAAACCTCATATATAGTCGGAAAATATGACAGCGTAGATCATTGTGATTAGCCACACCACACTCGTTTGAACGGTCGTGTTCCTGTTCTGGCGTAATTATTCAGGTGAGTCCACACCAAAGGGAAGCACTGGACTCGAGTTTCGCTCTTATTAGAGCTCATCAGCAGTGCATATCCCATGGCCGTGCCGGGATTTGAACCCCGGCTAGGAACAAAAGTACCTATCCCGCAATACCCCAAAATTGCAACCAAAAATCTGCCCAGTAGGTTTCAAGCGTGTGTCACGCTACCTATCTGGGAAGTCCTGACTGGCGGGTCAATCGATCGTCACAACCAGGACAGCTACTGGGTCCTCGTTCGATGAGTCGGGCACACCAAACATATCGCTCAAGTGTGGACACGTTCGCCTGTTCAGACGTGCTAATTCAGATGCGTCCAACGTGCGTTGGTGGAGTAGTGGTTACACGGTCGCCTCACATGTCAGATGTCCGGGATTCAAATCCCGGCACGGGCATTGGAAATGCGCTGCTGGTGAGCTCTAGTAGGAATGAAACTCGAGTCCAGTGCTTCCCTTTGATGTGGCTCACCGGAATAATTACCCCAGAACAAGAGCACGGCCGTTCAAACGAGTGGTGTGGCTATGAACGGAAAAAAGTACCTATCACGCAAAAACCCCAAAATTGCAACCATTGTGATTAGCTATGAAGTTCATAGTTGTACGCGAGCTGGGATACTCTCAGGACGCCCATACCTAAACATCAGGATGACTGGGGTACTCAACTGAAGCCTGATGGTAAGGCAGCGGGTCGATGCGAGCACACTATTATAGTAGTAAACGATTTTTGAAGAAAAAGTTGCGGCATCCGTTTCAACCCCCCATCTAAAAGGTCCAAGAGACTTCATCCAACAGACCTCCATCCACTGATCAACCCGATATGAGAAGCTCTGCAGATATCAGAGTGAAACTCTTCAGTATATAGCCCAGTGAGTCATGCAGGTACGATTAAGAGTGAGCAACCACCTCGAGGTACACAAAGCCTGAACTAAGAGATAAGCGGAGGGTGAGGGGGAGACTCGAAACCCGAACCCGCACTTATCGGGTAACCGTCTGAGCTGCCGAGGACACGCGTGGTCCGCTATGCTTACTTTATGGGATAACCAAATCCCCTTCCAGTTTCTAAGAAAAAATAAAACCATGACCTTTCTGGTAGCTGAACGATACAAGCGTCTAGCTTATTATGGAAACCAGATCCTTTAATCGCACAGACTGATATGACCTCTCATACATTGGTGTAACGGATGAGCTTGAAGCTTAGCTGCGTAAGCGAAGCGGACAGCAAACAACCTGATTAGCTCAGTTGGCCCAACACCGACAGCTATAGGTTCGCGGTTCGTTCGTAGACCTCTTGCTTCAAGACGTACGAGATTCCCATCTTTCTATCGAAGAAATATTTTGTCAATAACCTTCTTTTGGTCCACATCATCCTTATCACATGATTTGCTGCAAACTGCATACATGTTTTAAGATGTTTCTGTCAATTTTGCTCATAGATGGTTTTAAGATTGATGGAGGGTGGCTACGTAGGTTCGCATTTTTGAAAGAAGTAGTTCGTGGCGACGGTATGAACTTTTGGTTTGATGGGCGGTGGAAGACCTCTGCAATACCCTCAGATTTACACAGACCACTTGCATGTCGGATCTCTCGGTTCTCGTCTGAAAACAATGGCTGGTGGCTTTCATCAGAGATCGTCAGAAATCTGTCATTACCCATCTATTCATTTGTGAATGTTCCAGAAGATCCTCCGTGAACCTGGACAAGAAAAGCACGTGAAAACCGGTCCATATCACTTGATCGATAAGAGCCAGCTGGAACCACCAGTTTAATCAACTTATCACAAGATGCCTCGCTCGACCAACCCGGGAAAAATTTACGTTGTGCGACAAGCTGAAATCTCGTCAATCGCAATGCGAACAATGATCACTTTTACAGACATGAATGTCAGCGAGGGATAACCAGTGAACCAGTCACTACTGATCGATCAAGGTCAGACGCATTTTGAAAAAAAAACAGATCATATGTCTATGAGACTTGTGCGCCACTCTGTGTGGTCTGATTGTCCCGCCTGACTAGACAATATTTGCCACTCTTAAGTTTCACAATGGCAAAGTCTGTAGAATCACGTAAGACGAATAAGTGGTCAAAGGGAGAAGAACAAAAACTAAGCAGACGAGTCGTGACAGAGGAACACGTGACATAATGTGACTGACAGAACACAAAGTCGTTCTTCGACCTAATTGCCAGGGAGATCGTTTGCAAACGCAGACACAAAATAAACTAAAGGCACGTGCACCCCCGTAGCCGCTTAGTTCGACGCATTATCACAAACCAAGCGGAAAAAGTGCACAAAGTAGTGAGCAACTTCCCAGGACTGTATGAATCACTCAAACCGTAGGTCATCGTTTGAAATCTCGTTACGTAACATCAGCTAAGCCATGTTACTTAATCGTAGGTGCGAAAGTGTCCATGACAGGCTTCACTGTGATAGAATAAATGGATAAGTTCATTACTCCCCGTCTAAATAGCCTTCATGGTGCGGTTGTGGACCACAGTCCCTTCTTATTACCGTGAACCCTGGTCTGGATAGCCGATCGATAGCTTAGTGCGCTTGGCCAAACCAGGGTAAGTCAACGAACGTGCGAGCCAGCTGCTCTATCAATCACTGTCGCGTACAAGCGGGTAAAAAAGTGATACTAAGAATACAACTCATCTGTCAAGGGCGAGTGGGTAACAACCAATCAAATCTGTCTTAACGAAAACGGTTATTCCATTGGCTGTTATGTGGTCCCGTTACGTTCGGAGTGGGTTCTCCTAACAAACGAGAAGGTTGAAATAAAAGAACTAGCAAAAACGATTCCCATCCGACTACATCGACGCATCTTGGATCCCCAGAAAAGTCAAGCCCTGTTCGATCAGCAATGGATGCTAGGAGAGCACCAGTTGATATGCGGAAACAACCGTCGTGAAACTTGAAGGTTTTAACAAAAATTTTTACGGCATGCACCGGAAACGAACTGTGCTGTTCGGTTCCTAACCCACTGCGTTCGATGAGTGATTCAGTTGGCCAGCACTCACACGGGTGTTCTGCAAAACACCAGTCCAGTGACTGGGAATGCTGCCGATGGTTGCATACTCGTTCATCCGTCTTTTGAATATGTTCAAGATGAAACCGGTTGTACTCCTTGATTTCTGCATCAGACATCAAGGAGGGCAGTCCTCTGCTGAAGGAGGGCTGTTCCCGTCTTGTTTTACATCCCCAGGACGTTTCACCCACCATTTCGGGCATCATACACAAGGAACTTGAGAAAAACGACTGGGTTTTCGGACAAGCGAAAGAAACAACAAAAGCAACCAAGAAAGGGACTCACCCAAAACTCCATGGTTTGTGAGCTCTGGAGGGCCGAAAAAACGTGGATTGATGACCGGAGCCTCATCATTCTCATCAATGACCGGCACAACAACCGTCGCTTCGCCTTTCCGCTCGTACGGCGTAGGTGCCGAATCGACAGCCTGAACTCGAAATACAAACTGCTTACGCACCTGGTTTGTGTCTGCTGGAATTTGTATTGTCGTTGGACTGGACGGCATTGTTTCGTAGTCCAGCCACTGCCGGAGTGAAATTCGTCCGTCTGGATGGACGATAAAGTATTTGGTCGCCGCCGGATTCGGTAACATGAGATACCGCAACCGATTGTTCGCCGGGGACGCATCAGCATCTGCCGCAGACAAATTTAAAATCAACGTGCCTGGAACTGTCTTTTCTGATATAGCTCCACTTGGAGGGTAGAAAACTTCGTGTTCGAATACCGGAGATTCATCATTCACGTCGATAAGGTGGACCTTGACCAGTGCCGTCGAGGTGAGTGGCGGATTTCCAGAGTCTGAGGCTATCAGGTACATTTCGTACAAAGGCTGCTTTTCGAAATCCATATTGGTTGTGGAAACCAGTTCCAACGTCCCCGATGCTCCCTCTTCCAAAATAAATGGGAGTGGTTGTGTGGAGGCATCCGCGGAATGCAAATATTGATTGTCACCTGGCACCGGGCTGATTCGGTAGGTCACGCGGCCGTTCAGTCCAGCATCGGGGTCATGAGCCCCCGGTAGTTGAAGTCTTGCCTGCTGAGGCACATGGACATTTGGATTCCGAGGACTTTCCAAAACCTGAAGTTCAATTACTGGCAACTGTTGTTCTCGTCCGATACCTGTGGTCCGAACCAGTTGCGGCCACTGAGGACTATTGTCATTGATATCATCGATGCTGAGCGACAGCGTCAGCTTCTTCATCTCCGGCTGCCTTGAACCAGACGATAACGTAGCGATAATCTCCAACTTTTTCACACATTCCTCAGTTGGAGGCGAAATGTAACTGAATGAATTCGCATACTGTTGCCGATACGTGTTCGCATCGATCGTCAGGGAGGAAGAAGTCTTGTCTGGATACTTTGTGCACAGCGCTTCTCGGTCTATGCGACCGACAACCGTCAACTTGCCTGAATGTGGGTCCAGATGCAATGCGTTTGTGAGCCCACCTTGTGCACCAAGCAGTTGAAAACTCAAATCCAAATCGGAGCCTGGTTTGTAGGCGTCTTGGCCAAAGTTCAGAGCCCTCTGAAGAAACTCGGAAACCCCGTGGATCTCCGTTCCGTTGGGTGCTTCTTCCACAACTTGGAACACTTTAGCATTCTGGTCGGGTAGTCCAACATCGAATGGAAAGCTGGCCTGCTGCAGAAGACTGCCTGAGGCCTCTCGCTCCAATGCGGTCATTGTATAAACAAAGAGGAACAGTGTTCGTTCCATTGGACCATTTACGAGATCCACAAGTACGTGTGTTTGTTTATCTGCTCAGGAGTGAGCATTGGCTAAAAAAGGAACAGAGAATGTGTTCAGCATAAGGCTTGTGAAGCCACAGTTACACTGCTGGAAGTTCACACAGACAGACAGACAGACAGACAGACAGACAGACAGACAGACAGACAGACAGACAGACAGACAGACAGACAGACAGACAGACAGACAGACAGACAGACAGACAGACAGACAGACAGACAGACAGACAGACAGACAGACAGACAGACAGACAGACAGACAGACAGACAGACAGACAGACAGACAGACAGACAGACAGACAGACAGACAGACAGACAGACAGACAGACAGACAGACAGACAGACAGACAGACAGACAGACAGACAGACAGACAGACAGACAGACAGACAGACAGACAGACAGACAGACAGACAGACAGACAGACAGACAGACAGACAGACAGACAGACAGACAGACAGACAGACAGACAGACAGACAGACAGACAGACAGACAGACAGACAGACAGACAGACAGACAGACAGACAGACAGACAGACAGACAGACAGACAGACAGACAGACAGACAGACAGACAGACAGACAGACAGACAGACAGACAGACAGACAGACAGACAGACAGACAGACAGACAGACAGACAGACAGACAGACAGACAGACAGACAGACAGACAGACAGACAGACAGACAGACAGACAGACAGACAGACAGACAGACAGACAGACAGACAGACAGACAGACAGACAGACAGACAGACAGACAGACAGACACACGAAAGGCCGACATCGCTGCAGTGATGGTACGCTGTAAGACTATTCAGACCCCGGAATCGGACGGTCAACCCGCAGCTTACGTCTGTGGGCTGCTGTGAACAAATCGATTTGAAAGCAATGGCTTCTTCACCGAGATTCAAAGGAGTTGCATATGCCGGTCTCATTCTTTGGATTGATTATGTTCTGGCAGTTTAACGCTACTAATCGTCTGCTGCTATCGATGATGCTATCAGGTAGCCAAACTGTTCTACTCCTGTCAAGGATGCACTGTGGTGATCGCAAAGCAGCGGGTATATTGTGAAACCTTGTATACGCGACCGAATAAAACAGGAGATGCAGGTGATACGTGGAGTCTAGTGACGGTGATTCGGATGTTTAGACGTCGGACAGAGAGGAACAGACGGGAAAGTTCTTTTTTGGAGAACCAATGCACGGATGGCGCAAAGGGGAACCAGATGGCCCAAGTGGTTAGAGCGCGAATTTACTGACTGGAAGGTTCGTGGTTCGAACCCGACTTCTGTCTCTTGACTTCTCCTGTCTAGGCTTGGGCAAGCTGGCAGTATCCCAGTCCTCGTACTACCTCCGGGTTGCATGGCAGTTTGGCACCAAAAGGGTGCTACAACTGGACGATTGCGCAAATCGAACAGAAACGTAAACTAGCTCACCCAATCCGAACACACCCGAAAAATGGGACCTTTCCAGTCCTCATCCGATTGCTTCAAAGCCGGCCTCTACATCTGTGAAAACCAGGAATCCTGGTGTAACGGTGATACTACTTATGGGGGGCATGCAAGTAGTATGTTTTCTAGTAAATCCGCTTTGCGTCTCTTGAAAAGTGAGATCTATTACGGAATTTGTGGAGTTTCATTTGCATGCATCTGAGCAACAGTCAATGAATATCCAGGGAAGTTAGGGAAGACGGGTTCAAGGAGAAGATGGATGTTCAGTTTTTGTAAACAAGATGCACGAGAGTTTGCTCCCCTGTCCAATAGTCTGTAACTGTTCAGTTGGCATTTTCTAATAAATAACCCCGCAGCGATGGTATTCTTCCTTTCACTGGTGGTCGAGACATTCGAATTCGGTTATTCAATCCCTGCTTTTCTACTCGACGTACTTTGGCGCTGCTATCTGCGTGGGAGCAACTCCTTTTTTACAGGCAACTTGACGATAACATAACTTTGATCAAAAAACAGACTAATCAATAGTAACTACGGGAATCCAAACCGTTAAACACTGATCAGGACAAGTGGGTCACTGGATATATGGAGGTGGGGTAGAAACGAACAGAGTACTCTCAGTTTTGCAGCCATTGTCCGTTAGTCCGAGATTCCCGCATCTCTTCGGTTGGGACAGGTTGAACATGTTAGCATTCACAAGCGCAAAGTTCTGGCCTTTTGACTGCAAACGAGACAAGGGTTCAACATCCACGTTCCTATGGACCGACCTCATAGATAACTCTGGTGGCAAGGACACTGCCTTGGTTCTGGTGGGTGGGTCAAAGTCGCACTAATGGTGAGTCGACACAAGAAACTTTCCACTAGCCAACATGTTCGGACAAACGTCTGAACGCCTTATGTTTTGGCTTCACGGGTTCCTGAGGTATCGGATTTTAAATTCGGATCGATAGTCAATTAAGATAACCAGTGTGGTAATTAAATTTATTTATTCTTACCACAAGAAATTTCGCACTGCACTGGAGACTGTAGTCCCAGGCAGAATGAAATGGTAATCACATCGCTTGGATGAATGCACAGCACTTTCTGTACTTCAAGATATTCCTCGTAACGACTCCCTCTCTTCAATGCTCATTTGGCTTTGTGTAATCAAGTGTCGAGCTCCTCGTCCCTCTGTGGTACGAACATCTTCAAGGGGAGAATAATTCCACAAAATGAGTGGAACTTCCATCTGGTGAGCCGTTTTTAAGGGATGAGTGGCCCAGTATAATATCCAAGTCTGAGTTGATCACCTCGTAGCCGATTGGTTAACTGTTTAAACTACCAACTATCGAGGGTTCTCGGGTTCAAAAATCGTGAGTGGCGCGCACCGCTGATGATTCTCAATGAAGATGAAACAACTCTTCAGAGCTGCTCCACCTTTCCGCACAGATAACTCGAGTGGAAATTCTCAAATCTCCTCATCGTGCCGCCAACTTTCCCCCAGGTGTTTTTGAGACTGTGCTAACCAACAAAATCTGCTAGATAATTGAACCTCAGAATATTTGTTTTTGTTTTCATCGCCACGTCTTCAATCGGCACAAAGGTGTCAGAAGGGTTGGCAGAAGTCGGAAGTTTTGTGAGCAGGTTTATCGGAACAAAGCAATCTACGAAAGGAACTACTAAATTTTCATGTAAATGTCAGAGTGAGACAGATTAGCTCACCCATTGTTCGTTACGGAGTAACTGTGTTTATTGCAGGCGTTGGTGTGTGTATGAATAAAGTTGAATTAAATGACGGACGATAGACGTAGAACAGGTGCGCATGAATACATCCGAGGGGGGGACACAATGGGAAATTTATTGAATATTCCCTTTTTTTTAGCAGGAAATCACACATTTTGTCGTTTTGAGTCGAGTCCCCTGAAGGTGGATAATACAATACAATGAAGGTTTAGATTGAAATGCTCTGAAAAGTAGCTTTTCTACTGAGGGACGACTGGCCAACCCATCTACTAATTGATGAGAAAGTCTGAGTGGCTGGTCGAGGCAATCCGTACAACTCTTTATTGGCCAAATAGCCTTTGACCGATTTTTCGATACTCGACAAATCATGCCACATGACCTAACCGGAGTGATCCGATGATTTGCATCGATCAGGTAGCTTTTGTTTGGTTGATCCAGTTTTCTGGCAAATCGGCAAGCGTCTCCCAATCCTTTGAGGTGGTGATCATGTCTTTTGACACAAGTGGTTCGCAAAGAAATGAATGTATGACCACACGGGCCGGTAAGTTTTCTTACTCAGATTCATGTGAGGTAGTTAGCTACTTCTCAAGTTTTAGCCACGCCAAATTGAAGGTAGACTCTTAACCGATATGGCAAACCGCGCTTCAACTGTTCATCATCATCATCATCATCATCATCATCATCATCATCATCATCATCATCATCATCATCATCATCATCATAATCATCACCATCATCATCGCCATCATCATCATCATCGTCGTCATCATCGACAATGACACTTCGTTGCCATAGGATCATTTATTTGAATAAAGCCTCGCAATATTGTTTTGTATCTCCAGCCAAGCACAAGGAAGGCCACTGGGTCTTATCCTGGAGGGTGAGGAACATCTGAAGCACCCAAACTCCATCCTTCATTCCCGCTTACCATGTCAAATTTATCTGTTACTCTAGACTTGACACAGAAAACAGCGCTCTCCTGGTCACACGGAAACTCAACAGGCTTAACACACCAGGGGTCTTGACCCTCCGGGATACAGACCGAGTAGAATCATACTCATAAGACAGTTCACCCGGTATGTGTAAGACACAGACGATGTTTTGTCACCTATCTAACCCAGAACACGTCCTCTAAACTCTTCACTCTATCCACGAAAGTAGAAAGTTAATTGTGAAGCTAGGTGGAACAGTGTAGTCACAGTCGAAAGTACCCGAAACGACAGTTTCGGTCTTAGACGGATTACCGTAATACGACATCTCCGGTACTGCGATATCCAACTCCGCCATATGAGGCCCGTGTTCGAGGGGATTAAGCAGGGTGTTGATCAAATGGGACTGTGCTGACCACGACTTGACATCACTCCAGACTTTGTGCACTTTAATTCCCCTGCATCCGATGGGTTTCCAATGAACTATTCAGAAGTTTGAATCCGGTGCATGTATCAGGGTACATGCCCTAGACACGTGACATAGAATTGATCTAGAGAATGTGGAAATTTTAAAACGGGAACTGCGATTCACACCACAGTGGCTGAGAGCCGAGGCGGTGGAAATCACTAAGAATCACAGCGTGAACCCAATCGAGGGTGTGGAACTGGCTAGCGTATGGAAAGTGGTCTCTGATAAATTCTCATAAAGGAAACTACTCACGAGGCCGCTGAAGACTCTTCGACAACCCACGACCGGTTTCGCCCTTCCTCGGGCTCATCAGGTAGGCAAAGTCCCCGAGTTTCCGTCAACCTTATGTTCTACTTGAACCCAAAGTGATAAGCCGAGTTGACACGTGACTGTGTGTGGTCATCGATACAAGTAGAGTCATTAGCAAAAACAAGGGGAGTGGAAATCCCAACCCGACCAAATTTCAC